GGGGAGGGACGGAGGGCGGCGGGCGCGCGGGCCTGGGCACCAGCTGGAAGGTGGTGGAGGCGCAGGGCCTCAGACCCAACTCTGAATTTGGCCTGGGTGGGAGGGCGGTGGGGTCCGTGAGGAGGATGGGGGGTCCGTGGGGTTGCCGGCCACTTCCTGAGACACTCGAGAAGGAAGGAGACCCTCCCCTCCAGTACAGGCAGGGGTCTGATCTGGCCTGTCGCAGGAAACCCCTCACCCGCGGGCAGGGGGCGGACGGGAGTGGCAGGAAGATCCCATCCCCGGACTATGTCACACTAAGGCAGCTGGTTTAGGGGAGCTGCCCTCCTGGTGGGGATCATGGCACTCCATCCCAGCCACATGTCCCTCTCCGTTCCAAAGCCTGGAAAGTTCCCGGAGTCTGAGTTTAGATGCCTGAAAACTGTGGGGGGGGGGAACGCAGGGGACAAGTCTTCCTGCCTGGAGTCTTCCTCTCTGGGGGGCTTTCCTCAGACGGATTTGAAGAAGGGGTGCGTCAGGGGCTGCAGAGGCTGGGCGGAGTAGACGACTGTGACGTGCCCCTCAGGGCTGGGGCCAGAGCCACTTCTGTCGATGGGCCAGAAAGTAGTATCTCCAGCTTTGGGGGCCCTAGGGTCCTGTGGCATGACTCCGGCCTGCCAGGAGAGTGGTCACAGGCAGTAAAACTTTAGCTGTGGACACTGAAACTTGGATTTCATATTATTTTTATGGGGCATGAAATATTCTCTTTTCTTGATGTTTTTCAACTGGTATGACATGGAAACCATTCTCAGCTCCCGGCTGTATGAGGACAGGTCAGGGGCTGCCTTGGGCCGGGCCGGTTTGTCAGCCCTTTTGTAGACCAGGGTGGCGGTTTCACCTTTAGTCGACCGGGTCCCGAGAATTCAGCCCCAGCAGGTGTGCGTCCGTAAGAGCAGAGGATAACGCAGTGAGGCTCATAAGTGACCATCTCGTGGCCTCTCATAGTTCTTGCCAACCGCCCAGCGTGGCCTGGCTCTTTGGCATCAGGCTGCTGGTGCCGGGGGGGCCACTGTCATTCTCGGCTGGCCGAGTCGTGCGGAGCCTTGAGGCACAAACGAGAGGAGGGAGGAAACGTACCCCCTGCACCCCGTCTGCACCCTTCTGCGCTCTGCCTTTCTTTCCTGTGTTTCTCTCCATTATTCTCCCCGAGGTCAGACCATCACCCCTGACGCCACCACACGACACCCCACTTTCTGCCCACCCCCTCTACTTCCCGACATTTGACGGGGTGCTTAGAAGGGTTTATAGCTGCTGAGCATTGGGTCAGGCCTGGGCCCTGTGCCCCAGCTCTGTGCTGTGGGGGTGACCCACGGAGAGCTAGCCTCAACCTCTGATGCTTTGTTCACCCACTTGGGGTGCCTCCAGGCAGCACCAGGACGTGTGGCCGCCCCAATGCCGTCCCGGCCCCTCGCCCCTGCCGCCAGGCTCCCAGGCCCCCTAGGGTCCCTCCCCACCAGCCCGCTGGTCCTGGCCAAGGCCCTTCATCTCGCCTGTACAACCTGGGAAGCCGCCCAGGTGGTGAGGACTTGGTTTCCATCAGCGGACAGCACGGTCAGTGTTCTGTCCAGACCCCACGTGGCCGCTCAAACGTCCGTCAAACGGTGCTGAAGGCCCCTCGTGGCGGCCCACTGTCTGCCCCCCAAGCAAGCCCAGCATGTCCCACCCCTGCCCCTGCCTGGCCTCTCACCCCTGCCCTCGGAAGGTTCCAGGCCCCTGATGCTCTCGCCTGTGTTACCTCAAGCTCTTTCCTGACTCGGGCTTCGCTGTCCAGGCCTTTGTCAGCTCCAGCACCAGCCCCTCAGACAGGCCCTTCTCTGGCCCTGAAGCAGCCACACCTCCTCCCCTGCCTCCATGAGTCCTTGCATTTGTCACAGTTTCCTCCCCTGTCTCCATGAGTCTTTGCATTTGTCACAGTTTCTGATGGCCTCTTGTGTGATGTCTGGGGGGGGGGGCAGCTCCCTCTGAGCCATAGGGAGCCCCCTCGTGGGCTGGAAGAGAAGGGCAGACTTCCAGTCCTAGACGCCGAGGTGGACTTGGCTCACCTCCCTCCTCGGCCTGGGCCTGAGGTTCAGTGATAAACTCGAAAGTGTAAATATGACACATTTCACGGCGACACTCACCAACATTGGGTTTTCCTTGACAAAGTGAGAAGCCAGTTCCCCTGTTCATCCCTGTGCCTTTGGCAGAGCAGTCTGCTAGCCAGTGGGGGGCTGGGGGCTGCGCTTTGGATGGCTGGGGAGCTGGGAGACTGCTTTGGGAGGACTGGAGGGCTGTGCTTTGGAGATCTGGGGACTGCACTTTGGGGGGCTGTGCTTTGGGGGCTGGGGGCGGTATTTTAGAGGGCTGTGGGGATGCACTTTGGGGGTTGTGCTTTGCGGGGCTGGAGGCTGTGCTTTGGGGGCTGTGCTTTGGGGAGCTTGGGGAATGTACTTTGGGAGGTATTTTAGAGGGCTGTGGGGATGCACTTGTGCTTTGCGGGGCTGGAGGCTGTGCTTTGGGGGCTGTGCTTTGGGGGGGGCTGTGCTTTGGGGGTCTGGGGGCTGTACTTTGGGGGCTTAGGGGCTGTGCTCTGTGGGGCTGGGGGCTGGGCCTTGCGGGGAGGGCCCTTAGGAGTGGGGTAGGGCTGCGTCCATCCACAGCTGCCTTTGCCCGGTCCCCAGGGACAGCGAGTGCTGCTGGCTTTTGTGTTGAGTTTGTCGTGTGCAGACTGTGCCCGGATGTCCCAGCCGTAAACCCAGAGTGAGCAGGAGGCATGGATGAAGATGCTGGGTAACTCGGCTTGGAGAAGACTGGCCATTTTTCTGTTCCCAACAGAGTGACCGCCTTGTGATCAGGGGCGGGAAGGTGGTGAATGACGACCAGTCCTTTTACGCCGACGTGTACGTGGAAGACGGCCTCATAAAGTAAGTTCCCGCCAGAGTCGCCACGCGGCCCCGAGCGAGCACGCTGAGCACACGTCACCGGGCAGTGCGCTGGACACGGCGCTCGCCAGGCCTCCAGCGGTGGCGGAACCTTGCCATGTGCCTTGTGTCACCACGGCTTCAGAACGACTCGGGGCTCACGGCAGGGGCTTAAGAAATACTTACTGGCCGCACCTACGAGCGTGTCTGCTGGGCTGTGCCAAGCAGCTGCAGCCGGTCAGTGAGGGGCAGTGCACCCCTCCATGGACACTAGAGGTGCAGTCATGAGGCATGGGGCCCGCACGCTGACCACCTCGAGCCACTTCGCAGGGTGGTCCCCAGGGGCCCAGTGACACCTCGGCCACGCGGCCCTCGGGCTCAGGCACGGGGACCCGCACGCGCGCTTCCCCGGTCGGCCACATCGTGGGGGCTGCTCGGGCTCCCATCCGGGCTCCCATCGGGCTTCCTGACCGGCCGCATCTCCGTGCTGCTTTCAGGCAAATCGGAGAGAACCTCGTCGTCCCTGGGGACATCAGGACGATCGACGCCCACGGCCTGATGGTTCTGCCCGGTGGAGTGGACGTCCACACTAGGCTGCAGATGCCTGTCCTGGGCATGACCCCGGCTGATGACTTCTGTCAAGGCACCAAGGCAGCCCTCGCGGGAGGTACCACCATGATACGTGAGTGTCCCCACCTGGGTCCTCCAGCCAGGTGTGTGGCAAAGTGGAGTTTACTGGCCCTGTTTCCCCTGAATTCTACCTCAATCTGAGAAATCCTGGAGCCTCTCCCTTTGTCACCCCGTTTCTCATTCTGAGTCATTCTGCCTTGGCCAGCTCTGGATGCCCCTGGGATTCCCGGGGGAGCCAGTGGATGTGTGCCCAGTTCTTTATTATTTCCTGGGAAGCCAGCAGCTGGCAAAGGACTGTTTTGGCCAGCAGAGGAGTCATGTCACCTGAAAGGTCAGGCGCATTTGCCCCTGAACCTCCCACCTCTGAAGCTTGGTTTGCAGACGGTCCCTGCCTGTGTCGAGAGGAGTTAAAGGTGGAAGCTGTGTTTTTAGAAGAAGAGGTGACGAAACACCATTACCCTGTCAGCAGCCACCAGTGTTAGCATTTGGGTCGCGCTGGCTCCGTGCCAGGCCCGACAGCAGCCCAGCAGGCTTCAGCCCACGAGCTCCCCTCAAAGCCCCGAGGAGACGCCCCACTCGGCAGATGGTGGGGAGCACTCGCTGGCGGTAAGCGCAGGAACCTGGATGAGACACAGGGGCCGGCCCGCCAGCCCCTCCTCTCGGCCTTGGCCTTGCCTCCGTCAGCCCGGAGCGTCCGGTGCGGACCTGATCTCACAGCCTGGTTGAGCCCTGGCTGTACCCGGTCCTAGCCGTGTGGCCTCAGGTGACGGAGTCGACTTCTAGAAGGCGAGGTTCCTGACTGGGGTAGCGGAAAGTGCCCTCCCAGGGGGCCGGAGGGTTCGGCTAGCTCGTGCACATAAGCTGTGTGCCTGGCGCACAGTCTTTGCTCAGGAAATGCTGTCACTGCTGCCACCTGGATGCAGAGCCTCATAGGTGACATTTAGCCAGTGCCCCAATCATGGCGCGGTTTGGTTTACTTAACCGCAAAGTGCAAAACCCACAACGGGCCATCTTTCGGTTTGTCTCAGGAGACTGGTCATCTCAGGACATTGCTTATGCTGGTCACTGGTGGCTCTGGCCAACCAGGACACCTTTGTGGTTAATGTCATCTGCTCATGCCGGTGCTGAGACGTCACAGAGCCGTGAGGGGAGAGAGGCCTCTGTTGAGCCATCTGTTTCCTCCACCTGCCGGCCCCAGGCTGGAGCTGTGAACGGCCCGCAGGGTGGGACAGGCACCTGCTCCCATGGGGCCCTGCCAGGCTTCCCAATCTGGACTGAGGAAGCCTGGGCACCCCGCGTGAGGGGTGCTGGAGGGAGGCACAGCGTGGTCCAGGGACCCCGGGGAGCAGCGTGCCTTCCTGTGGGCCGCCCCTCCGAGTTCTTCCTCTCAGCCGGGAGAGGGCGTGAGCAATGTTTGGACCTCGGACGTGAGGTCGGCGTGGGTGGGCGGGGGTGACAGCTCAGTGGCACATGCAGGCCCGGTTTCCCCAGGGTGGCGGTGTTCCAGGTGTGCGCTTGGCGAGGCGCGAGGGGGCCACCCCACACACTGTCCAACAGCAGGACAGTGGCGCCCTCTGCCAAGGTGCGCCTCCCTCAGCTGGAGACCTGTGTTGGAGGTCAAGGCCTTTAGCTGCCGCTCATGCCCCTTGGGGTGTGACGTGTCCGTCAGGGAGCGGGGTGGCTTGAGCCAGACCTTTCTCTCTGCCCAGAGGGAGGCCGGGCAGCCGGGGCTGGAGAGGCCTCTGGACAGGAGTGCCTAGCTAAGGTGCCACGGCCTGTGCTCTGCTTATCTCAAATGTGCTTTCTGACCTCTTGGGGACACGAAACCAGTCCCCGTGGGAGGCCGAGGTGATTCCCAGCGCCTGGGCTGGGCAGCCCGGCTGACCGCCCTACCCCTGCAGTGGACCACGTGTGCCCTGACGCGGGTGTGAGCCTGCTGGCGGCCTTCGAGCAGTGGCGGGAGCGAGCGGACAGCGGGGCCTGCTGCGACTACTCCCTGCACGTGGACGTCCCCCGCTGGCACGAGAGCATCAGGGAGGAGCTGGAGGCCCTGGTCAGGGACAAGGGTGAGCAGCGGCAGGCCGAGGGGCAGCAGGAGCCAAGTTCCCTGGTCTCGGGGGACAGGGGCGGCACCCGGCCCCGTGTTCATCTGCGTTCAGGGCAGGTGGCCGGGGGCAGAGGAAGTGGGACTAGAGCCCTTTGGGGTCTGACCTCCCTCTGAAGGGGCCGTCTGCCCCTGCATCTGGGGACGTGGCCTGTAACCGTCCTCCCTACAGAGGACACGGCGGTTACAGCTGTCGCCGCGGTGCCCTTCTCTTGGCCGTGGGTGAAAGGGAAGCGCCACACGTTCTGGCATCTTCAGGTCCTTCCGGAAGGAGAAGGTTAAAACCTTCGGCTCCTGCTGTGCTGAACGGTCCAGGCCGGCAGCAGGGGTCACGCTTCCTTCGAAGGATTCCTGAAGCGGGCGCTCAGCAGAGCTTCACGGATTTGACGGAAGTGGCGTCAGTGGGGGCGGGGCTCTCCCCTGTGTCTGCTCCCGGGTCCCAGAGCAGGCGGGGCGGGTGAGGGGGACTGGACTGGGCCTGGGCTGACCCCGGCCTCCTTGCGGCTTCTTGGTGAGCATTTAGGGGTCAGGGCCGAGGGCTGCTGGGCCACGGGGAAGCAGCCATGGGAGATGCGGCCCGGCCTGGCCCCTCTGGAGATGGGGGAGCAGCGGAGGCTCCACGAAGCTGAGCGTCTGACCCCCGCCCGCCCCCCCTGCAGGCGTGAACTCCTTCCTGGTCTTCATGGCGTACAAAGACAGGTGCCAGTGCACCGACGGCCAGGTAAGGTGCGGGCAGGGAGCACGCGGGACTGCTCGGGCTGCTGTGGGAGAGACCACCCACACGGCATGCGCCCCTCCGCCCAGATGTATGAGGTCTTCAGCATCATCCGGGACCTGGGAGCCGTGGCCCAAGTGCACGCAGAGAACGGGGACATCGTGGAGGAGGTGCGGGCCGAGGGGGCGGGCCGAGGGGCCCCGGGACGAGCACTTCATCCGCAAACCCGGGGTCGGGGGGAGAGCAAGCGCGTCTGCGGGCGGCGGTGTAGCCAGTGGGGCGTCGGGGGAGCCTGGGCCCTCCTCTCGTCACAAACCACCCATGACCATCACTTCTCAAAAGTTCCCCAACCAGAATGTCACTGTGGCGGGTCCCCAGCACCCCCTGCCCCCGCAGATTGCGGCCCCGTGGGAACTGGACCCTTGTCTGCCTTCTGGCCACAGCACACAGCGGGGTCAGTGGCCTGTCCTTCAGCCACGGCCTGCACGGCCCTGGGGAGCGCCGAGCCCATGGCCTTCCCCTCGGCCCTGAGGCTGCGAGGTGGGGTGCCTGTGCCCCCACCTTTCCTCCTCTTGCCTTCGGGGTCCCCTCTGCCTGACGCCCACAGCCCCGGGCCTGCGGGCCACTGGGGGCTCAGGTCCTGTGGCCTGCGGGGAGGTCACACACAGAGGGCGCCTCCCTGACCCTGCAGTCCAGCCCGCAGACCACGTCCCTGGGCGGGCTGGCCCTGCCCCACCCGAGGTCCAGGAGGACGGTGGTGAGACTTGGGGGGCCAGGTGGGGAGTCGGCGCCTCGTCCCTTTGTTCAGCCTTAGGCCAGCAGCGCTGCATGTGCCTCCGATTCAGACCCCAGCCTGGGCACGCGGCCAGGAGGGTGCGGTCAAGCGCAGCACACGGGGCTGGGCAGGCGTGCGGGGGCGCCACGCCTGTGCTGGGGTCTCGTTATGAGGTCGCGGGCCTCGCTTCCCCCCATTCTACACCCCAGAGCCTGGCGTCTGTGCGTCCTGACGTGAGTGGGACGCCATGGCAGACGCGCGTGGACACGCACGCTGCACGGGATGCCACTGCCCACGGCCGTGCGGCGCCCAGTGCACTCAGCGTGGCGGGCAAGGCCGGGGACTCATCCTGGCCACGTCGGCTAGGACCTGTGACCTCGGCAAGCCCCTCCGCCCCCCAAGCCTGGCCCTTCATCTGTGGTCCAGGGCGCTGCAGCCTCTCTTCCATCTGAGCTCTGTGGTTGGGGATTGGGGGGACCTCGGGGGGCCCAGGGCTCAGCTCAGGGCGCAGCGGCTCCTGGGCAGTGCGCGCCGTGCCCGGCTCAGGCCCGGCTGGAACATGGTGCCCTGTCGGTTCCCTCAGGAGCAGAAGCGGCTGCTGGAGCTTGGCATCGCCGGCCCTGAGGGCCATGTGCTCAGCCGCCCCGAGGAGGTAGGCACTGTGCCCGCTGGGTGCCCAGGCCCGCCCTCCTATGGGGTGTCCGGCCCCAAGGCCCCGGCAGGGCTGCGGTCACGCTGTCCTCACCCGGGGGACGTGGACAGGTGGCCCTGCTCCCTCCGTTCATACCCCATGATCAGCAGTCACCCCAAGCCCAGGACTCGGGGCAGAGGCGGCGGGTTGGGCCCTGGGGACAGCTGCGTCAGCCCGACCCTGGGCCCCTCCCAGCCCTCTGCGCCCCGAGCCTGGACCTGGGGTGATCGTGGGCACCTCGCGCCCACACCCGTCGGGAGGCCCCGGGGCCCTCTCGCAGCCGGAGCGTCCCCGTCCGCAGGTGGAAGCTGAGGCCGTGTACCGTGCCGTCACTGTCGCCAAGCAGGCCAACTGTCCCCTGTATGTCACCAAAGTGATGAGCAAGAGTGCGGCCGACGTGATTGCCCAAGCCAGGCGCCGGGGTGAGCGCCGCCGGGCACTGGGGAGGGCCTCGTGGGCCTGGGGGTCACGTCCTCGGCCCCCTGGGAGCTCGGCTGGCTAAGCAAGGCGCGGAGCAGGACAGGCCCGCCTGGGAAGCAGCCGCCAGCCTGCCACGGGCCCGGCCTCCCCTGGGAGCTCGGCCAGCACCCAGCAGTCCCTGCACTGCTGGTGGGCGGGTCTCCCCTGTGGTCGAAAGGGCAGCTGGCCACCAGGGGGCCCTGTTTCCGCAGAAATGGATGGCAGTCACCACACCTGTGTGTGAGCGTGTGTGCGTGCGTGCGTGTGTTGGCAGGGGGAGCCTGAGTCTACTTGCGGCCTTACCCGGCTGACGTCCCGTCTGGAGCCCCATGTGACTGTTCGCTGGGCCCCTCTGTGCGTCCAGGCACCGGGGTGCACATCCTGGGGGCTGGGTGCTCTGCGCCCAGAGCCCGCGTAGCTGGAGGGCGGTGGGCGAGTGAGAAGGAGCCAGGCCCGTGCTGACCCCCAGCGGGGGCGTGAGGGGGTGGGTGCAGGGAGGACCCGCCTGCCTGTGCCAGCTGCCCCGGAAGCAGGACGGGCCGTCCGTCGGGAAATCGGGCAGCAGGGGTGTGAGCGGGGCAGTGTCAAGGCTGCGCCCTCTGGGGTCAGGGGGCGTGCCGGCGTGGGCGCCTCTCATGGGCCTCGCCACAGGGGTGGTCGTGTTTGGGGAACCCATCACCGCCAGCCTGGGCACCGACGGCTCGCACTACTGGAGCCAGAACTGGGCAAAGGCCGCGGCCTTCGTCACGTCGCCCCCCATCAACCCGGACCCCACCACTGCGGACCACCTCAGCTCCCTGCTGTCCAGGTAAGCACTGAGCGGGGTGGCTCCAGGCAGCGAGTGCCCCACGCCCTACCGTGCCCTCGGCCGCCAGCAGCTCCAGCCCCTCCCGCGTGAGCCAGAGCCAGCACCCCACCTCAGAGCGTCCACCCTGATGCCCCGACCCCCCGAGTCAGCGCCTCCGCCCAGCGCTGCCCCTCCGACAACCCCGGGCCCCTGCGGCTGCGCTGGCCCCAGGGGTGGGGTGCTGGAGGGTGAAGCCGCCAGGCCTCGGCCAGCTGAGAAAGGCCAGGCCCCTCTGGGCTCTCCTGACCCCCGCTTGTCCTCAGCGGGGACCTCCAGGTGACTGGCAGCGCCCACTGCACCTTCACCACTGCCCAGAAGGCTGTTGGCAAAGACGACTTCACGCTCATCCCCGAGGGCACCAACGGCGTGGAGGAGCGCATGTCGGTGGTCTGGGAGAAGTGTGTGGTGAGCGCCCCCCACACCGCTGCCCCGGAGCGGGCGGCGCCTGACCAGGAAGCGTGTGTGGGGGCCGGAGTCGAGTGTGGGGGCCGGCTGTCCACCTCACCTGCCTTCGGGGGCTCTCCGAGGAACCCCTCGGCTACCGGGCAGCCAGGCCCCCCAGTGTGATGTCACACGGCTGGGGCTGAGCACGGCCCCTTCCCGATAGGGTTCCGCCCAGTGACACCAACGGTCCCCCCGAAAGCCCGAGGCCTCTGACTCCCCCTCACACAGACGGCCCGCCCGGCGCCCCACGTGGCCGGGCCCAACCCCGGCTCCCCTCGCCACCACCCTGCTTGTGTAGGCCTGGCCGCCCAGGGAGATTGTCACATCCCTCAGGGGACGCAGACATGGCTATTTATATACCCACAAAGTGAGCACAGAGACCAGGCCTCGTGCACAGGAAGGTCCCACTGGCAGGCTGGCTGAGGGGGACCTGTCCACACCCCCCGGGAGGGTGGGTCTGATGCTGCTCTCTGCGGGGGGCCAGGGCCGCGGTCCATAAAGACACCATGGACACCAGCACACCCACCCCTCAGCTAGCCTTCTTGCTTCTCAGGCCTCGGGGAAAATGGACGAGAACGACTTTGTTGCTGTGACGAGTACAAATGCAGCCAAAATCTTCAATTTTTACCCGAGGAAGGGGCGGGTGGCTGTGGGCTCTGACGCCGACCTTGTCATCTGGAACCCCAAGGCCACGAAAATCATCTCTGCCAAGAGCCACAACCTGGTGAGAGACGTTTGCCTCGAGCCCGGCAGAGCAGGGCTGGGGCCCCCGGCAGCCTTCTGGGGGAGTCCAGGGGTGTGCTCGGGGCGTGGCAGCCACTTGGCCACCTCAGCCAGGACGTCGGCCACGCAGGAGAGCTAGCCCCATGCAGGCCTGTCCAGCGCTCTCTGTCCTAAAGATGTGGGACGGGCACAGGTGGTCGTGGCCACTTCTTGCCCACAGAGAATGTCTGCGGCCACAGGGATGCCGGCCGGCTCGGGCTGTGTTGGGGGCAGTGCTGGACCCCTGGCCCTGTCTCCCCAGAATGTGGAGTACAACGTGTTTGAAGGCGTCGAGTGCCGGGGAGCCCCCGTGGTGGTCATCAGTCAGGGCAGGGTTGTGCTGGAGGACGGGAACTTGTCGGTCACCCCAGGGGCTGGCCGCTTCGTCCCTCGGAAGACGTTCCCGGACTTTGTCTACAAGAGGATCAAGGCGCGCAACAGGGTGAGGCCCCAGCCGGGCGGCAAGGTGGGGGTCCTCGCACCGCCCCGTGTCCGGGAGGTTCTTCCTCCCGGTCAGCCCCCCGGCCGCCCAGGGCCTGCTCCCCGGGGGGTTCTTAGCGGCGGCTCTGCAAGTTACCCACAGGGCCTGTGGGCTGTGGATCGAGGGAAAAAGGTGCGTCACTCGTGGCCACCCCTGGGTGATGAAAGCAGAGGCTCCGGGTGGGCACAGGTGTGCGTTAAGCGAGGGCCGAGCGCTTTTCACAGCGTCCTGTGACGCCAGCCTCGTGGGCCGGGGTGTCGTGAGCGCGTTCCGCATCTTCCTTGTCTCCTCGTGGCCTCGCATCTGACGGATGCGCCGGGCGTTGGCCAGGCCCGCCCGCTCGGCACTCCAGCGTCCGGGAAGGATGTCTGCACTGAGTGTCAGGCCCCAGGGCCCGCGCTGGGCCCCTCCGTGGGGAGAGGGCCTGGGGTCCGTCTCTCAGGCTGTCGGCCCTCAGTCACTCCCCTGATCTGACATAGGAACCGAGCGAGGCAGGGTCCCGGCCACACACCCCGAGTCTCCCGTGTCCCTTCCCATCCCTCTCGTGCCCCGAGGGGTGGGCTCCAGGGCGCGTTCTGTGAGATCGCAGCCTCATGTATAACCAGGCAGAGAGAGGGGACACCTGAGGTGCGGACAGGTGATGGGCTCCCAGTCGCGTACCCGGGGCTATGGGATAGGGGCTGGACTCAGACCGGAGTCTTTGGGACTCGACGCCCAACAGCCGAGCCTGCACCTCTGCCTGGAGGAGACCCCCCTGGGGCAGGGTTCAGACGATGCCCCTGGCTGGGCTCGGGCGCTGCTGTCATGGATCAAACCGCAGATCCTGAGGTTGACACCAGCTGGAATCAAGCGCACCTGAAGGTTTTGCTTCAATCCGTGGACTGTTCGTCCACCATGCTGGCTACTGAGAAATGCCGGGGACTTTGGGGCCTGGATCTCCAGGCTCCCTCAGGGCCAGCGGAAGGGGCTGTGCTGGGGACACGGGGCGACGGGTCCTGAGGAGGCAGAGACTGCGGAGGCTGGTTTCTGATTCCAGGCAGTGCCCCCTCTGCGGGGACCCTCTTGTCCCCAGCAGGGCTCATGGCTCGGCCGCGGGCCTCAGAGACGGGGCGGGTGTGCTCGTGTGCCAGCATGTGTGTCAAGGTGGGAGGAGGCGGACACCCCCTTGGCAGGGATCCCCGGAGCTCCTGCGCCCCATGAGGGCCCTGCAGAGCAGAGTGGGCCGGGATCTCGGCGGAGCGCCTGGCCCCCCAGCTGCGGGGTGCCCAGCCCCCTCACACCCGGCCCCCTGGTCCTGCAGCTGGCCGAGATCCACGGCGTGCCCCGAGGCCTCTATGACGGGCCGGTCCACGAGGTGATGGTGCCCGCCAAGACCGGGGGCGGTGCCCAGGCGCGCGCGTCCTGCGCGGGGAAGATCCCAGTGCCCCCCGTGCGCAACCTGCACCAGTCGGGGTTCAGCCTGTCGGGTGAGTAGAGCCGGGGGCGGGCCTTTGAGCCGGGGCCGCGTGTGAGACCCGCCCCTCGCCCACGCCCCGCCTCCCTGCAGGTTCTCAGGCCGACGACCACATCGCCAGACGCACGGCGCAGAAGATCATGGCGCCCCCTGGCGGGCGCTCCAACATCACCTCGCTGTCCTAGACCCCCGGGCGCGCGCTGCTCTCCCCTGCCAAACCGACTTTGAAAGGTGCTTGGCCTTCCTTCCCCTCTCCAGAAACCGCCTTTCGGGCCCGGGGCCTGTTTCGAGAGCCCCGCCAGGAGACGGCTGCGTCTTCACAGCCAGGCGGCACTGGTGGCCCCGCCCCAGGGGGTGCTGGGTGCCCCGGGAAGGCAAGCCCGCCGCCCAGCAGCGGCTGTGGGAACCAGGGCCTCACGACACACGGGGCAGGCTGAGAGGCTGGGCTTCTGCTCCCTTCCCGTGTGAAGCCCGGCCCCTTGAAGCCCGCCTCGGCCACCTGTAGAGCTGCAGCCTGTCCCCGTCCCCCACCCGGGGCTGCTGTGACTTCAGGGACCCATCGGGAATCAGCGCAGGGTGGCTTCGGGTGGGGGTCCTGCAGCCGCGTGGGCACACTTCTCCAGGGACCAGACCCCGCCTCCGGGGGAGCTGGGGGCCCTTTAGCTAGGACGTGCTCCTTCTGCTACTCAGCGTGCATTCCAGTAGTTTATTAGAGCAGCGGTTTTGTGCAGTGACGACAGCTGTGGCCAGGACTCTGCATGCCCCAGGGGCCCGACCGCGACACTGTCACCTGGTCTGATGGAGACTGCGTCAATTAAAGGCGTCTGCATCGGAAGCTCTGTCGACTTCTCTGTCCCCCACCACCCCCATGAGCGGGTGTGCGCCGGGCCCTTGGGACCATCCTGCCGCCCCCCATGCCGGCTGCAGAGATGGACTCTGGACCACCCACAGGGACCACGCTGCTCCGCCTGGGCGGGGCAGGGGCAAGGCCGGCAGTGAGCTGCGGAGACCGGTCCCCCTCTGGGGGTACCTGGAAACTGTGCCCCTGAGCCCAGGTCTGCAGGTCAGGGACAGCCGGGTGGTCAGAGGAACTGGATGACCCACGGCCAGGTGCTCAGGGGACAGGGTTGGACTGCGAGGGCTTCTGTCCAAGCTGTCTGGCAAAAGGCCAGCGGTGACACGGCCACGAGCCTGCACTTGCTGCAACGGCCCTGGCCTGCGGCTGACCACCACCCCCCACCAGACGCGTGCAGCCTGGGCCCTGCCTGCTCCAGGCAGAGCAGCTCAGGGTTCTGACCCAAACCCTCAGGCTGGGCTGCCCAGAACCTTCCGGAAGAAGGAGCTGTGAGGCCGCCCCCCTCGCCTCAGCATCTTTCTCATAAAAGTGGTTCCATTTCTGTCCCCCCCACTGTGGGATGCTCCCCGAAGGATGTCTTCAGCCCAGGAGCACGATGGCCGTGGCCTCTGGGAGGACAAGCTGGGAAGGTCAGGGGCAGGGCCCCCCCCACGCCTCGCACCACCAGGGCCTCTGACTGGTGGCCAGGAGCATGTCTGAGGGAACACGGCCCCCTCCTGTCACAAAGCCCCGTTGGCCCAGGGCAGCCCCTGGAGGGGGTCGGTCCTTCTGGTCCCACCAAGTCCCCAGGGCTCCAAGGCCAAGGTCCACTGCATCGTGTCCCCCTCCCCTGGCGAGAGACGGTGATCACAAAGCCAGACCACACCCACATCCCTGCCACCAACCCGGGAGACACGTGCTGTCCTCGGGGGTCTCAGAAGCGCCCAGATTTACATGTTTACAAACTCCCACCCCCGCTCTTGCCTCTGACTGCACCAGACTCCCACCAGCACTTTCTCGGGCCTGCCCGCCCCAGGTCCTCCAGCACTGCCCACCTCTGGACCCTGGCTTCTCTGGGAGTAACTAGGCCCGTGTCCCCCACGTGGGCACACCCAGCTGCTCTTCCAACATCCAACCCCCAGGGGCCAGAGGCCCCTCTAACCTGCCTTCCCCACCCGCCCGGCTCAGCCGACTCTTGCTCAGGACCGTCAGTGTCGTGGCCTCGCCCTCGCACAGTTGCCTCGCTGCCCAGCGCTGTGGGGGCCCCTCCGCCCTCCAGCAGGCATCCCCCACACCACCGCAGCCTCAGGGCTCCCAGGTTAGGAGTGGGGCACCCAGCCCAGCAGCAGGATTGGGGTGCCGAGGGCGCTGGCGGTGGGAGCCGGCCGGCCGGAGCTGTGAACAGCAGCAGCGCTCAGCAGGGGCAGCGCGCACGAGGCTCCGCACTCGAGTAGGTTTGTTGTAATTCACGGAGGTGCAAACTTCAGAAACACCACAGGAAGTGCCGGAACAGTTTGCAGGTCTATAAAACACCCTCGCCTCCCCCCCGGCCCTCCCCCCGATGCACAAGAACTGCGGACCCTGTGCCACCCCACGGCTCTGGGCGGCAAGCTCACGGACATTGGGCAGCCGACGGCAGGGCCGGGCGACCAGGCCTGCGTGCAGCTGGAAGTGGTGAGGGACAGGCTCAAGTCAGCTTCGCGCCCTGCCAGTGAGGCAGGCAGCGGCCACCGGGAGGCCAGGCAGTCCGTGGGCCTCCCGCCACCATCACCCGTAGTCGGAGGGGCCCAGGTGGCACCTGCCCTCCTTGTCCGGCACGGTGGGTCACACCAGCCTCTTGTCACCATGTACCTCCAAGAGCACAGTGGCAGCTAGGTGGTCAGACTGTAACAGTGGAAGTGGCGTGGCCACCAGCTCGGGTCTGTGCCTGGGCGTGCGGGGCTGCTCCGTGGGAAGGTCGGTGCTGGGCTGTCATTGTGTCCCTCTGGTGGACCTGAGTCTCCAGCGCAATGAGTCACCTCCTCAGGGCTGCAGGCTCCTAGCCGCTCCCGGCCGAGGGGCAGATGGGGCCGCACATGGGCAGGGAGGGGCGCACCTCCTCACCGTCCGCCGAGGCCTCGCCATCCACACGCCCGGCCTCGGGCGCCGGCAGGGGCTGGCTCGTGGGGTCCTGGCCCCTCTTCAGCCTGGAGGGAAGCACAGGCAGGGGCTGTGTGCAGCCTCACCAGCAGGCCCGGCCCACTTCTCAGCGTCCACAGCCTGCCTGGGGACTCGAGTGTCCCTCAGGGCCACGGTTGGAGCAGGTGCTAGGCCTCTCTGCCCAGGCAGAAGCCCCCTCCCGATGGCAGATGTGGGGCCGGCACAGGGCAGGCGGGCTGCAGGCACCCGGCCCAGCAAAGCTCAGCTCATTTCCAGCCAGGAGCTACAAGGAGGCTAAGTTTAAGTCAAGTTCTGGGGGCAGTAATTTTGGAACAAGGCTTTGCAGAGAGCTTGGCCAAGCCCCATTTTTACCCGGGCCCTGACTTCCAGAATGGTGGCCAGGGTCCTCGACCAGTGCCACATGTCATCCTGGTCATCGAAGCAGGACAGAGCACCAGCCAATCCTGCTCATCTTTCCAGCCAGAGCCCAGAGCCACCTCCTCCAGGAAGCCCTCCGGCCTCACCCTGCCACTGCTCCCCCACAGAGCTCTCTCTCCGCCCGGAGCCGTCTTGGCTATTTGTGGCCTGTTGTCTCTCCCTGCCAGCTGGCTGTGCCCCTTCCGTCCCACAGTCCGTGGCACGCAGTAAATGTTTGCCAAGTGAGTGACTCAGGGCAGGGTGGGGGTTGAGGTGACTCTGCAGGGGCCGCCAAAGAAGCTGTCCGCCCTCGTCTGGGAAGGCCACCAAGCATCTCCCCAGGACATTCTGGCCACTGGCCCTAGTTCAGGACTAAGGTTCCCGAGGACTCCCCGCCACAAGCTTGAGCGGGGTCCCTGTCCAGGGTGCTGCTCGGACCCCCAGGAGGGTGGGATCAGGGCCCCCAGGCCCTTCAATGCCACATGGCTACTGGGGTCAGGACCTGCGTGGCCAAAATCACCTTGGTCCATTGTCCCAAACTCCTCTCTGCCCCATCACCCCCCCACACACGCAAGTGCACACAAATGCACACGCACGCACCCCCCCACAGACACACGTGCACATGCACACGTACCCACACACACATCTTGGTCCATTGTCCCAAACTCCTCTCTGCCCCATCACCCCCCACGCACACGCAAGTGCACACAAATGCATACGCACGCACCCCCCCACAGACACACGTGCGCATGCACACGTACCCACACACACGTGCACATGCACACTCACTTTTCTCTGTTAAAAATGACAAAGTCTTGTTGGATCGCGTCAAGGCAGTCCTGGAGGTAGTCATTCTCCTGTTAGTCAGAACGAGTAGTGGGCGTCAGCTTCTTTCTGTCCCCTCAGGTGGGATCCCTCCTGTCCCTCCTGTCCCCATCTGCTTCTCCTCCCGTGGCCTGTGCCTGTGGCTTTCTGCTGAGGCCTGAACTCTGCCCTCAGGAAGCCATAGTTCCCTCCTGAGGGGAGTTTGCAGCTCCCAGGTGACCCTTAGCCAGTGACCAAGGATTTCCTGTACAGAGGCCCAGCCCCTGCCCCAGGCTGGATGCCGGCATGGCTGGCAGTGACTCTGCGGCCAGATGTGGTGGGAAACCACACCTGGCTTGGCCCTTCCCCGTTCCCCGGCCCAGGCTGGGTCCTCTGGGTGCCTTGACCCTGGTACACAGATTCCCTTCTCGGAGTCTAAGCCCAGAGAGCCTGCCTGGGAAGGCTGGCCGCAGGGGCCACGCTGGGAGGCCGACTCTCAGACAGGACTGAGCCGGGTCTCGCACTGGCCAGATAAACGCGGAGCCTTCGCTGGTGGCATGTGAGTGGTGGGGGGGAGGGTGCAGGAGGAGGGGTGCACTGTGGCGTGGGACAGGTGGGGCAGGAGTCGCGCGGCCCATGGGTCGCTGGCCATCACTGGGCACTAGGGACGCATGAGCGCGTGACAGGCTCAGCCCGCCCATTCGCAGCCTGGGGCACGGTAGGCGCAGATGCCGCGGCCCGAGGCCTGAGCTGCACCCTTGACCAGGTCACACTGTGAGAGCCTCAGGGCTTCGGAGCGGCTGGCCTGGGCCTCGGGACTTTGGGATGGCCGTGCGCAGGGCTCCCCGGGCGCCCGTGTGCCGGGGCCTGGCGGGACACTGGGGCGGAGAGGGCCCCGCACGCGGCACTCACGGACTGGGCACTGTCCCTGCTGCTGTCCCGCGACCGGCTCTTGGCCAGACGCTTCTTCTTCTTGTGCAGGGGCCTCGACTCCAGGATCATTTCCTCCAGCTCGAAGGTGGGGTCGCAGTGCAGGCGGCCTTTCTGTGGGGGCAGGGCGCCGAGCTCACCCCCGATCCCAGATCCGCTGAGCTCACCCCCCGATCCCAGATTCCGCCAGCACCGCCACCGCTGCCGCCCAGCCGCCCGCAAGCTTACGTTGGGCACGAAGCCGGGCTCCACCTTCTTCTCGCCCAGGTGGTCCCACAGCACGCCGGCCAGCGACGGGGCCGCCCGCATGTCCTGCAGGCTGGAGACCCGGTGCTCGGGGCTCACAGCGAGGAGCTGGAACGAGGCCCGCGTCAGAGCCCGCCGGGCTGGGGGGCCGGGGCCGGGGATTTTTCGGCATTCGGGACCTCAGGGCTCCGGCGAGGAAGGGTGGCGGGGCTTTCAGGCCAGCGGCCGCGTCAGCGCAGTGACACACCAAGGGGACACTGTGGTCTGAGCGGACGGGCCAAGCCCCTGGAGCCCAAGCAAGGCACAGGGCCCTGCCTGCCGTCTGTGGGGAGGTGCTGCCAAGATGCGCCAGCAGGTGGCAGCCTCGGCCTGGCTAACTGCAGGACGGTGACAGGCCAGTGACTGTCACAGCCGCCATGAGGCCCCGGGGTTCTGAGTGTGGCCCAGCGGGACAGCGGCTGGGCCTCTCACACACCGCGGGCCCAGTCTGCGGCTTCCCCAGGCGTGGGCTTGGCACGCATCACCCTCACTCGCCACGAGGGCCTCTGGGTGCCAAGGTGGCACCAGGTGACCCTCCTGTACAGGGAAACCGGGTGCAGAGGCTCCCTGGGGGCAGGGAGGGGCCTCCGGCTGCCTGGACACAGCTCAGGGTTGAGGGTCTCTGGGCAGGCGCAGGGGCATGGACTACCCTGCGGGCCCGGCATCAGCGGCTGCGGGCCTTGCATGTCCAGGGCGTCCTCCCACACCCGCTCAGGACGTGGCCGATGGGTTCAAAGTGCGGCTCGGGGCAGCTGCGTGGCCACTGGAGGAGCGGCTCCACGGGAGGCACGCCAGAGGCAGCGGCACAGCCCCGCGGCCCCGAGCGGGGTGACCCTGGGCTGCTACAGATGCCTGCGGGCCATGGGAGGTGCAGGGGCGTCCGGGGTCTCCCCCGCTTGCTCCTGGGGGGTGGCCCAGCTGTTGGCAGCAGGCCCTGGCTGCTCGCCTCCCACAGAGGAGCAAGGGGCACGGGGTCAAGGCACAGCACAGCCGCCACCGGCCACCTGCACCCTCCCCCCAGCACACGGGGCAAACTTCACGCCTCAGTGCGGGCACCTGTGAGACGGTGACGGACAGTGTCCCAGAACCAGGCCGTGGGGCTTAAATGAGGGGACGGCTCCCACGGTCCAGCCCACCGCCAGTGCTCAGACAGGCCGGGCTGCTACAGGACAGCCGGCCACCCCGCAGGCTGCTGGCCGCTGCAGAGGGACACCACCCGCCAGCCGCCCTCAGGACAGGAGGCCCGTCCCAGCCCACACTCCCAGGGGCCTCACCTTCCGAAGCAGGGCCACCATGTCCTTGGACCAGGAGGGGACATACTGGACGCTTGCGGTGCTGAACAGCTGCACCAGGGACTCCACGGCATTGCCCGAGTGGATATCGTAGGGCCTCTGGGCGGGGGGCACAGTGTTGTCCCTGTGCCCGCTGCATGTCCAGCGCACCCTCCCATCCTGCTTGGGACTTGATGGGCAGGTTTGGAGGGCTTCTCGCCCCCAGGGGCTGGCCGGGTGGGCTCTGGAGAGCCGAAGGGCCACCTCTTTGGGGACGGGGACCTGGGGGCAGCTAAGGACACGGTGCCCCGGGAGGCCCCCACGAGGGGCGGGAGGGCAGCTCGAGGCCCAGGCCAGAAGGAGCACCAGGACGCACGTGGGAACTGCGGGCAGCTCCCACCCTGCCTGCCCCCAAGGCTGGCACACAGCCCCACCACCGGCAAGAAACCCCAGTGACCCCTTCCACCGCCCTCAGGCCTCACATGGCCACCCAGACTCGCAACGGAAAGCACTGTCCTTGCCAACGAGAATAAAGCCACCCCTGAGACCCTGGGGGTGCAGCTGCACCCCTCCCCAGGCTCCCGGGCCACCCCGGTGTGCATGCAGCTTGGGGTCTGGAGGCCAAGCAGCTACATACCCATCCACGCAGCAGCTCGTAGGCCATCACCCCCACCGACCACCAGTCCACCTCGAAGGAGTAGCCGGTCCCCCCGTTGACGAAAGACTGGAAGATTTCCGGAGCTTTCCAGAAAGGGGAGGGGCGCTAAGCGTCCCCATGCGCAGGCCACAGAGCTGGGCCGGCAAGCCACCCTCCCCGCGCACCCTCCCCACCAACCGCCCAGATCAAGTCGGGGTCCCAGAGCCCGCGTGGGCTGGCCATCTCAGCACGGCCGTCACCCACACGGGTCACGCGGTCTTCCGCGTGGATCAAACACAGCTGTTCCTATCACCTACGGCTGTGCCCTTAGGGGAGGGACCTGGCCCCGGCAGCCACGGGGAGCAGGAGCCGGCGGGCTGGCAGGGCCTGCGCTGGGCGGGGGCCGCGCTCACCCATGTACGGCTTGGTTCCGGCCAGCGCGGTGGCCCTCTCCCCGTCCTTGATGATGGTGGCGATGTTGAAGTCGGTCAGGTGTGCGTGCCCTGGGAGGAGAGGGGACATGCTGTCCTGGGGACAGACGCGCCCTGCGGGCTGGGGCCTCACCCGCGTCGGCCTCCCGCCACTGCTCACCTTGCTCATCCAGCAGGATGTTGTCGGGCTTGACGTCTCTGGAGAAGGGGCAGGAAGGGGGGAGACGCGTCACAAACCCTTCCTGTCCCTGCCCTGGTGGGGCTGGGGCTCCTCTAAGGGCCTCCACCTGGCCACAGGTGCGACGTGGGCCCCGGGGAGATGCGAGAGCACGAGGCCCCCCTCCCCACCTGGAGCTGTGCGGACAGAGCTGAGTGAAGTTCTGGTCCCTGCGGGGTCGCCCCAGCTCCCGAGACCAGAGCGGCAGCAGGGAGATGCCGGCCCTGGACACGCGGGCAGAGCCGCAGGCCGGACGCCCGGGCAGACGCTCCTCCCGCGCCCGGGCTGCACGCAGTGGGGGCTGGGGCGATGCCAGGCCTCACACTGTCCGACTTGCAGGCACCCAGTAAGGGCTTGGTGCCTGAGCCGCGACCGGGGAACGCAACCGGCATCCCGCGGGGCGAAAACGCACGCGCCTCGCCGGCCGCCCTCTGCGCACACGGCGCTGTTTCGCTCGGACGCAGCGTTGTTTCCCTAATTCACCTGCTTTCGGCGAATGTTAACGTCCGTCCGAATTCCCCAGGGACATGACGGACCTCTGCCAGGTGGCAGCAAGGATCCTGCAGTTACACAGACCAGGCGAAGGCCACCCCAATGTGGCCAGGTCCTGGGGTCCCCAAGAGCCGATGGCTCTCTGCGCTCAGCCCAGCTGAGACGGGATCCACCCCAGGTGGCCATCAGACATATAGCTGCTGGGCTGGCCTTGGAGCCAGGGGCCCATCAGCCCGGGCGCCACACCTGGAGGCAGGTCTGCGGGCGAGGCTGGGCAGAGGGCCCAGGAGCCAGCCCGGCAGGGCTCTGGCGGAGGGCTGTCGCCCTGCAGGTGGTCCGCCCCGGGCCAGTCCCAGCCCGCTGAGGCGGGCGCCCCGCCCCGTCGGCGTGCACACCTGTGGATGATATGCTGGCTGCGCAGGTAGTCGAGGGCCAGCGCCAGCTCGCAGATGTACAGCCGCACCGTGTCCTCGGAGAACTGGACGTTCTGCTGCAGGTGGTAGCGCAGGTCCCCGCCCAGCTGCAGGTCCACGACCATGAACATGTCCTCCTCGTCCTGGAAGGAGTACCTGGGGGCGCCGAGTGGGGAGAGCCCGAGTCACGGCTCCTGCCACACCCGACAACCCCCAGGCCAGGGCCCCAACTCACACCCGCCCTGCACTGCGCACCCCGGGAGCAGGGCCCTGCCTGAGGCGCTAGGGAAGGTGGCGGAAGGTGGCCCAGCGGGGACAGAGGGGCCTGTGGGTGGCCAGGGAGAGAAGAACACAGCGCCATCTCGGGGCCATGTCCTCGCTGCCTGCTTCCCGCTTCTGCCCTGGAGAGTTATTAGTGAAGAAACTGGGAGAGCGAAGTGCCAGACAAGGGGCCGCAGCCACGACGGTGGCGGAGACAGTGACAGTGGTGACGGTGGGGCGGGGTGACGATGGTGGGGCGGGGTGACGATGGGGCGA